CTCTCTCTCTCTCTCTCTCTATATATATATATATATATATATATATATATATATATATATATATATATATATATATATATATATATTATTTCTCTCTTCTTCTCCTCTCTCTCTCTCTCTCTCTCTCTCTCTCTCTCTCTCTCTCTCTCTCTCTCTCTCTCTCTCTCTCTCTCTATCTATCTATCTATCTATCTATCTCTTTCTCTCTCTCGTTTTGGGGTACAAGAATGGAACGATTACACACCCCATACACACGATGGGCCAATTCTTAAAGCTATGTCCCCCTCCTACACATTATTGTTTCCTCGGGCGGGCCAAACAATCTCATTGTTTTGGGGTAAAAAATACATGTATATTTGTTTTACCTGTACGCATATAGATATAAGTAAACATAATTATAGGGGGTCCACTTACCTGAGACAAATCAAGCCCCTCCAGGTACAGGCGGATTCTGTCTATGCGAACGCGGTCCGTGTAGCCGAGCTCAGGACCCCACCAGTCACTCAGGGCCAAGTGGGCGATGCCTGCGGAAATTAGGGTGCGTTACCAGGGGCTCTCTGTCTCTTCCTAGTGGCCCTATATATCTATTTGGTAAAGGACTCACTTGTTTTAATTTTGATTTGCCTACGGAAATCAGGACGCGACACTAGGAACCAGATACCTTCAGAAACTCCCTGTCTCTGCCTAATGGTCTTACATAAATTGATCTTTATTTGTTTTTCGGTCAAAACTGGGATTATTTTTCAGGTTTTCTTGGAACTGGAAGCGAAAATGAGAATCAAAACTTGGTACTATAGTTGTTTTTGATTAGATGGGATTCTTCCCGGTATAGCACATCCAAAAACATTATTTGTGGAACCCTGTTTAATTGTAATAAAAATAGACTAAATGTAACTTACATTACTACCTTATCTACTGTATAAACTGTGGTGAATAGGCCAAACAAGGTAAATATATATATATATTTTTTGTGAAACCTTAAATGAATCCGTAGGATTAGCAGGATGGAGGATTTGGATGAGAGGAAGCAAAGTATTGTGGCAAAAATAAAATCACTAGTTGGAAAGAAAAATAGAAACAAGAGTAATGAGAACATAGAGCCCCCCCCTCTCTCTATCTCTCTGCACACGGAATGAAAACAAGAGAAAAGGGGAGTGCCAGTGAAGAGGTGGATGGAATGAACAGCAAAAGACCCAAAGGAGAAAGAGTTATCGAAGGACAAAGCAAAAGAACAGAATTTTTTAGAACATGGTCACAAAACACACAAACTTCGAATTCTTATAAAAGCCATTTCTTGAAAGGATATTCCAACCACCTTTAGTCCCCCTTTTTAGAACCAGTTACTCCTTATGTCTTTGTTTTGTCTGTTTCCAAGATCAGACTCAGTGGACTCAATTCCCATACTTTGCACAGGTGAGATAACCCGAGACATTACCTGTGTAGGCCAGCTGCGTGACGGGGCAGCGAGGGTCAGCGGGGTCCTCGCAGCCCCCCTCGTCGAACACATTGAAGGTCATTGCGAACGGCTGAGGCGGAGGGTCGAGAGATCCCACGGCGTCCAGGGCCAAGACGTCCAGCTGCCTGAGCTTGTAGACCATCGTGTCGTAGTCATCCCAGTAGGACGCGTGGATAGGACACTCCTTCATGAATGTGTAGAAATAGGCGTCGCAGTATTCCCCGAGGACGTTGAAGGCGGCCATGAGGTCCACCCGGTTTTTGAGGTAGAGCTGAACCATGAGCTTGGCAAGAGCCACGTTCTGGCCTACCATGTAGTCCAGGTAATTTTCCTCTGTTAAGTATGCATCGCTGAGCAGTTCGTTGGCCTCGGCCAGGCTCTGCTGACTGGAAGCAACGGCTGCCATGTCGTCCTCCACAACGCTTGCTTGCTGGTTGATGGATATGATGAGGTTTGCAAACACTCTGATGTGCTCACTGAGTGACTCGCTCTTGACTATGAGGTCGAATATAGCCATCTTTAGCTGCCTCACGCCGTCCACTGCGTCGGACAGTTCCTCATCATCCAAAACAATGCCGCACGTGTCGCGGGCTTCTTGCCACTGCAGCCGCCCTACCGTCTGGTTAGTTACAACTTCTATGATCTCCTCTGTGTCCTTGAAGGTGTCCAGCCACACTGCCATGTCTTCGCTGGACGGAGGTACGGGAGGAGCCAGAGCCACGATGGCATTCACTTGGTTCATAAGCTCACCCAGAGATATGATCATACTGCCGATTTCACTCTCGTGGCCTGCCCAGCTGCCTATGAAGTCCCCAACATTCATAACGGTATCGATGGCGAAATCGGTTATATTTGTGATGTTTTTAGATACGTCTAAGCCCCCTTTCACGGTGATGGTGACCAAGGAAGCATAGTCGAGGAAAGTCAAGAAACGCCTGCGCCTCTTGTAGGCCTCTAAGCCCTTCTTGACCCTCTCCTCAGCGGCTTCAACTTCTGCCTTGCTCTCCTCAACCGAATTGTGAGTTATTGTTACTGTATTCCACATCACGGTCGTTTGCTGGTACAGGTTATCCAGCTGGTTCTCGTGCGCACCCATGGTGGCCTGCGCTTTGTCTACTGCCAATTCTGCGCTAGACTGAATCACTTCCAGGTCCGCCTTCCGCTCGCTGAGGCCGATTCGTGTGTCGAACATCCTCTGGGCATTCACTTCTAACTTGAGCTTCAACTTATCCATGGCATCCTTGTAGAGCTCCAGGTTCTCGGTCAGGTAGCCCACCATATCAGCGTAGACCGGCACAGTCAGGTAGGGTACTTTCCGTGTAGGTGAGCGCTTTTGCTGCTTCATCTCCAGTTCCTGCTTGGCTTTCACAGCCCTTTGGTTGATCCCAACGAGGCTTGCGTCTTGCCAGTCTGTGGTGATGTTGGCCACGAAATCTATGATGCCATGAGCGAGCTCTGAGTGGGCAGCTTCATCACTTTCCACGATAGCGTTAGCGCAGTAGAGTGACAGCCACAACTGAGATGCTTTCACCCAGCTCTCAGCCTCGCTTGTCCAGTCCGAGAGCGGTTCGCAGTCCTCCAGAGGGTCAGCATCACCTTGGAGCAGGACGACCGTGACCAGACCATGCTGCAGCTGTTCCACGGTCATGCTGCCAACCCGCCCTCGTGTGTGCATGGGCGTGTAAAAACTTGTATCAGCTCCAGGTGCGTGGGCTGACAGAGTGGTCGCCACAAGCAGAGGGTTTTCAAGAACTATTCTTCGGGCAATAATTGTGAGTGGGAAAGTAATTGGACTCAGTGGCCCTGTCAGCACCACAGTGTCAGCTCGGAGAGTCACGGACTGCGTTTCTGCTGATGTGTACCTGGGCAGCTCTACCAGATCGAAAAAGAAGGTCTCGATGACAAGTTCCGTACTGTGGCGGGAGTACAGGCGGTAAGTCTCCGTCACGTCCACGCCTTCGGGCAGACACTGGAGAGCCTGCGGGGCCTCGCCAATCAAGGGAGCCAACTCTGCCCTGAACTGAATCTCCGTCTGCCCTGAACTTGCAGCCATAGCGGCCTTACTGAAGGTCAGAGGCTCATCAAGGACCGAACAGTCTACTCCTGACCTGCCGTAAGGTCGACAAGTACTCACATAGGCGTAAAGGCCAAAGGTCTGGCAGGTAGCCGCTTCTTCTTGGGACGATGCCCAAAAACTTGTGAAATTGTAAAGGTCTTGTTGCAGAACGTTTCCGAAGGGGGCTGTGAAGGAGCAGGGTACTGTGTAGAAATCATTAGGATAAACTAGTACTGTCAAGTCATTGTCTTTGACATTTGGGCTGAATAAGGACAAAGGGAGATCCTGTAAGCCATTGTTGTAAGCTGAAAATTCTGACAACAGGTCATTGTTAACCAGCAGATCTTCCGGCAATCTTTTAAGGGCATTGTTAAATAAAATCAGGTGTCTAAGGTTTACAAGTTTTGAAAATGCTCGTGGATGTATGTAATGTATATCATTCATCCCCAAATCTATTCTCTCAAGTGTCTCGTTCAAAATTTCGAAATCGGCTTCCAGGATTTCTGTCACAGTATTATTGAGTAACTGTACTCCCTTTGTTTGAGGGTACATCGTGAAGCATTCAACGGGAATTTTTCTGAGTTGTAAGCTGTTGCAATTCAGGTCAAAATAAGTTGCATCGTAGGTGCACGGGCACTCTGAACTTCGCGAGGAGGTTTTGGCACTAACGGAGACCTGATCCTCGGGGAGTGGGAGGAGCGAAGGTGCGCCATATTCCCCGAGTCCGTCGCCGCCAACGAGGCTGACCACGCCCACCAACACGACACTCAATATCTGGAGGAGGAGATACAACTCAGCGAGGGAAAGGATAAGGGAACAATGTGTGCATATCAGAAGTATTTGTGCGGTAAGCTGAAAGTTAAAGGAGAAAGGGAAAAAGGTACGGTTGAAATTAGCTTGTTTGTCTCTCCTGTTAATGTCCTTTCTGATCGATCAGTCTTACTTTTTCTGAATGGAGAGGAAAATAAACGATAAGGAACGACATCGAACGCAAACTTACACCCTGAAGATCCGATAGAATCGCGCGCGCGTGTGTGTGTGTGTGTGTGTCTGCGGAGAGGGGCGTCATTTTTGTTTTCATTAACATATATCCGAAAGCTCTATGAGGATGAAAGTCGAAAAATAAGAATTAATCGACTTTTATAAGAAAACTGCGTTCCAGGTCCTGCGTCGCGTGAGTAAATCGCCATGCAAGAGTGACTCCCGAAGTAGGTTTCAGAAAAAAAAAGAAAAAGAAAGAAAATACCCGTAGCACCAGATACCCAACAGATCCTCAATGACCCCCGAATCCTCAGCGGATCCTACGACCAAACCTTAACCGAGACATGCCCCTCGGTGCCGCTCCTCCCCTCCCCCCTCCCCCCTTCTTCAGAGACTCACCTTGCAGGGAGCCATGGCTGTTCCACCGCCCGCGCCTCCCCGTCACCGAATCGCAGCCGAACTCCAGGCACCGCGCCCTTTATCTGGCCTCCCTGGGAAACCGGGCGCGGGCTTGGGAATTCACAGCTGGTGTATGTGCTTTTTTGTGCTCTGTTTTCATGTATGTATGTCAGCTGAGGATGGATACTTGAAGCCATGTTTTCATTTTCTTTCACGATATTTCAATGTCATTATTTACCCTGGAATGACTTGTTTTAATTGGATATGTGTACAGTACTTTCTTGCCTTGATATCCCAGTAGAATACCCTTCCACTGCGTTCTTACTCACGTTTAGTCGTTGCACAGAAGGCGTGTCAGGAGCCCCATCGCGGGACGGAGTGGGCGGAGCCAACGCGCGGGGAGAGATATAAAGCCGCTCGGGAGACGCTGCGGCCAGTCGACAAGGAGGCGGAGAGAGAAAGGCATGTCGGTCCGTCGTCTGCAACTGGTAGGTCGACTTGTACATCTGGGAACATGGTGTATACATGAATACAAAGATATATATATATATATATATATATATATATATATATATATATATATATATGAATATGTATAAATGTTTATATATATATATATATATATATATATATATATATATATATATATATATATATACTCATATACATACATACATATATATGTATATATATATAATATATATATATATATATATATTACATATATATATATTTTTTTTTCATATACATTCTATCTATCTATCAATCTATCTATCTATCTATATATGTATATATATACATATAGAAATATACACATGTATATATGTATATATATATATATAGATATAGATATAGATATAGATATAGATAGACGTATATGAATATATATATATGTATGTATGTATGTATGTATGTATATGTATATGTATATATATATATATATATATATATATATATATATATATATATATATATATATAATAGATAGATAGATAGATAGATAGATAGCTTGATCTATATGTATATATAATAGGTATGTGTTAAGTTTATCATGAGTATTCAAAACCAGATGTTTACCATCGCAATATATGCGTTTTACCATTTTTTAACAGTACGCTGTTTTTATATAACGATAGTGTAAACAAATAGCATGAAACTGTTGATAGATAGTTTTCTCACGTAATAAGACAGTATGAGAATATGGAATTCTCTCTCTCTCTCTCTCTTTTTTTTTTTTTTTTTTTTTTTTTAGGGGGGGGGTGTAGGGTGAAGCTTGGTGTTAGATGCATACTTTAAAATATTTTAAGATATCTTATTTGCCAGATATTATCCATAAACTTTGACCAGACTATGTAGTTTACTCTTTATATTCATTATTCGACTTAATAAAATTTTTAGCCTCTGTAGTATTTCAGATATTGATGTTTCGTTTCTCTTGTGTGGAAATCTAAACCAATATTTTCTACTTTCATACTTCGCTGTAATCGAATTTTTTCTTCAGCTTTTGAATTTTAAAGGTTTAGGCATCGCGGTTCAAGTGGCTTTTAGATATTAGCCGTCAATTCAAGGGACTTTCCCTGTCCAGCTCAGATGTATGAAAATACCTCATTTACATGTGTGTGTGTGTGTGCATGTATATAAGTGTGTGTTCCTATATAATGCGAACACGAGAATATAACATCCGCAGTGTGTTTCTCCCGTAGATGCGAGCGTTTCTGCTGGCGTGCCTGGCGGGCGCCGCGGCCGCGATCTGCCCCTGCGCTTGGGATCCCTCGGCGAGCAGCCTGGCCTGCGGGGACCTCGGCCTCACGGAGGTCCCCACGGCCTGCTTTGACGCGCACCCGGGCGCGAGGACTCTCAACCTCACCAGCAATGAAATAACGCAACTCAGACGAAAGGACTTCAGCGGCAATGTCGATAACCTGGAAGTCCTCCTCATCGACAACAACCCCGTCAGCATGTTCTATCCTGACGCGTTTGCAGAGCTTGCTAATCTGCAGGAAGTCAGTATCCAGACCACCGTGTTTGCTGCCAGTTTCCATCCAGGCCTTTTCAGGAACAACCCAAAGCTGAATAAGTTTGTTTTGGGAGGCATGCTGGTCAGGCTGCCGCTGGAACTGTTTAGCCCAAATCTCACTGCCCCTTTCGTATTCGACCTGTCACGGTGTTTCTCCAATCAGGTCGTCCCATGCAGATTACTTGCTGATCTACCAGAGGGAAGTGAAGTCGTGGCAGAAGTGATCTTTTGGGCACAGACGCGGGCAGACGAAGAGATCTGTAAGGGTTTGAATGTGTCTCATTCATATACGACTCAGTGTTACTCTTTCACAGACTCGTTTGTTGATTGTTCCAACCTGCCGGAGAATATGACGCCAGCTACGGCAGAGTTAGCAATGGAAGAGATAGGAAATATTTACGATTATGTTCCGCCATATTTAACATTCCCCTCAGCTTTCCATGAACTGTTGGGGGAAGTCCCTGACGATTTCGATTGTCTGCCTGGGGGAGTTGACAAGATCTGGGATTTTCAAAAGTATTATCGGAACACGGAGCACGTGCAGCTAGATACCTTGTATTTCGACTTGGCAGATCTTCATCTGTTCACATCAGAAATAACACAGTCTGTAAGTATCAGAGCAGACACTGTGGTACTCACCAGGCAAATCACACTCGTTTATCTGCTAAACATTTCAGCACGAAGGGTAGTTTTTCGCTTTCCGATTCACTCCTATGCAGACACATCAGTGCACAGTCCCTCAACAGACGGAGATTTCTTCACCCTCTCGCACGAATTTGGCGAAATCAACGGCGTGATCGTCGAAACGTTCCGTCATGGAAACGTGCAGGTCACTCTGCTGGGCTCCGAGGCCAAACCTTGCACGAGTCCAGCTGATGTGACTGACATTCTGCCGGAGAGCACAAGCTTGACCCAGCTCGACCTGGCAGTCCAGTGCAGTGTGAGTCTTCTGGACAGGGATGAGCAGGCGCTCACGGCAGCCCTTCAGATTTCGTCCTTGGCAGAGGTTCTGTCTGCCGCTAGTCCCGTCGGCGGCATGGGGCAGGTGAGAAGCAGGGCTGCCAGCGTCAGGAACTTCGCTTCCTCTCGCCTAAGCAAAAGCAACGCTAGTGAGCCCCTTCCTGTCCCGTACCTCTCTCTCAGCGTGTATTCTGACATGGTAGATGATCTTGCGTGGAATGTCCAGTTCTACAAAGACACACTTGACAAACTGAGGAATAAATTGGAGCAGCAGAGCGAAGCAATGTTTGACCTGAGCATGACATTCGAGGAGCGTCATGCAGACCTGGAATTCGTCTACCAGGAGTCCCAGACAGCCCTTACGCAAGCTCAGAGTGTGTTCGGAAGCCAAGAGAACCACCTCAGCAACCTTCGCTCGCATGCAGACTCAGTATATGGACTGGTCTTTGATGTCTACGCCAAGTTTTCAGAAGCTGCCACCAGGTACGAAGCAGCGTTTGAAGACTTCAAGGACGGCATCAGAAAGGCGAAGGAAAGCGCGTTCATCCGAGGTTGTCTGGGCATCTTCACGACCATTGGAAAGTGCTACACACAAAAGGAATATCCGAATCCAGCAGAGATTGTGAATTCTATCTACCAAGCAAGTGACTTTGTGGACGAATTCGATGACATGAAAGACGAAATGCAGGAATCTATGCTGCTGATAAATGACCTTATGAGAGATGTGATGGACATTATATCGAAGTTGGAGACCTTGGATCCTCCTGAGGGCGATGCCGGGACCGACTGGGCCGCTGCCTTCCCTGACACAACGCAGCTCCTCAGTGCCGCTCAGAGGCAAGACGCTTTCTCTTTGTGACTTCTCCTCCCACATTTATCTTCAACAGTTATCTTAGCATTTATTCTAGTAATTATGAGCAAATATCATTTCCCAAGGCAGACTAAAACACCAAACACACTCCTCATTTCACGTGTTGATGCCCCACAGCCAGATGGTGTCGAGAACGCAGTGGGACGTCAGCACCAGAGGAGCCACTATACTGCTTGATGACAGCGATATGAAGAAGGTACAGTGTCCTTGCCAATACCATCCTAACTACTGCCTGAATAAAGCACTGAGGAATTGATTACCATTATTATTACATTTTGCTATGATCAGCATTATAAATTATATGGTTTTATCTACACTGTAAACATTTTGGTTAGTATTCTTGTTCTTGTGTCCTGAGCCTCCGATGAGTGACCTGGTCGTCCATGTCACCAGAACCGATCTGGTAATCCGCAACGCCATACGCGCTTCAGTCGTCTGCCTCACCGTGGGCGATCTGCCATCCACACCATCCACATCCACAAAAGACCTTAAATCCCTTACGTATCTTAACCGCAGCCACTAACCACTGACTGGCCTGGCGCCCTTGCCTCTGCCCTTACAGGTCTCGGGTTCGAGGCAATACAGGGCCTCCGTGCTGGAGCTGGCCGAGTGGGGGAAGAGGTTCAGCGAGAAGGTGGTGTCCTTCGCGCAGCTCATCCTTCAGATCAAGGACGAGGAGGAGAACCTGAAGGTTTTTACTATTACTTTCACTATTGTTTTTTCTGTTTTCTCGTTGTTGTTATCATTATGTTCTTTTGTTATTGTTCATAATATCAATATTGTTATCATTATCAATATTATCATTATCATCAATATCATTATCATCATTAATATTATTATCATTATCATCAATATCATCATCATCAATATTATTATCATTATCATCAATATTATCATTATAATCATTGTCCTTGCCATTATTACTATTATCATCCTTATCATTATATTTCTCTCGCGTTTTGACTCGTTTGGGCTTTCAGCTTTCCGGTGATTCACTTGTATCCTCGTCTTATTTGATGTAAACTGAAGCATTCTCCCTCTCTCCCTCGCTACATATGTGTATGTGCATCTGTGTACAGGCCATCAGATTGGTCTTCTCTTCCACTGATGTCCATACCTGCAGACTGGTGAGATCTTCCTTAAGCTACTGCTCAAACTTCAACAGCGGCTTTCCTCCTGCCGACAGTCTCACTTCCCACACCCTCCGCCTTCTCCCCTATGCCGACCACCCCT